CGTCAGTGCAATGAAAGTTTACCCATATAATCAACCAACACAAAAAACAAAACCACTAAACCAAATATGAAAATAAAGAGGAAGGAAAATATACAGACATACAGGGCACAGTGACTAGACGAGTCACTATGAATCTGGTGGTGCATGTGGAGGGTGGAGGTAGCCAGTCCCAAGACAGTGGTGGGCTTCTGTCAACTCAAATCTCTCGCCCCATTCAGATCGGGGCAGCTCCTTCGAACTCGGTTGGGGAGGGGTAGTGTGGCGGTCGGTACGGCACTCCCTCTGGACATGGACATGATCCTGCAATGATCTCTTCGTGTGTTCTCGCATACACGCGTCCTCAGTGAGCTGCTCAATCTCCCTAAGGTAATCGCACTCTTCCACCAGCTTCACTTTCGACTCAGGCTGTGACTCTCGGGCGGATATAAAGGTGGATTCCCCCAACACTGTCATGCTCGCAGTCCCTTTCTTTACATCAATAATTGTGCCGGTGGTAGCCATGAAGGGTCGCCCAAGGAGGGTGGTGTGCTGCTTCTCATTTTCTTGCACGTTCCCCATATCGAGTACGATGAAGTCCACGGGGAATATCAACTTCCCCACTCGGACGAGCACATCCTCCACAATCCCTGCTGGTTGACGGAATGAGCGATCAGCCAACTGTAGGTGCATCCTGGTGGGCTGCAAGTCTCCAAGCATGAGCCGATGATAAACTGCAAGTGGCATGAGGTTTATGCCCGCTCCTAATAAAGCATCCCCAAGGTCTCTTCCCCATTCCCAAAGTCTAAAGTGATAACAAAGCCTCCGGGGTCTTTTTTCTTCTTCGGAAAGTTGTGCTGGAATACACTTGCCGCTTCGAACACGAGCACCTCACACTGCCTTCGAGCCTCTGCTTATTCGCCGCTACCTCCTTGAAAAATCTTGCATATGCTGGTATCTTCTTCATCACGTTGGGAGGAGATAGATCATCGTTGGCCTTAACCAACATTGCATGAAGGTCTCTAATCATCCGGCGGTCCTTCTCTTTTAAGAGCCGGCTCGGGAAGGGGATTTTCGGTCTGTAAAGATTTGGGGATTTGTGTAAGGTAGCTCAGGTAGTGGTGTCACTGGGGTTTCTTCCACTCTCCCTTGCTCTTTTGGGCCCTCTTTTACTTCTTTCACTTCTTCGGGCATAATCACGGTCACCGCATTCGTCTTGGGACTGGGTCGGTTCTGATAACCTTGTAGTGCATTCACCTCGGCATTCTGTCCTCTGAAGCTTGGCTCGATAGCCGATGGGAACACCTCGGATCCGTGTCCCTGGACTCCACAGGCTCCACATACATTCACAGCCATAGTCTGAACCGGTGAGGACTCTCTAGCATTCAGTAGCCGCATCTGCTCCGTGAGCTCGGCTATCTGATGGGCCATCATGTCTCTCCCAGAAGATACTTCATTGACCCGGCCCTCTTTCCTCGACTGCTCTTTTGAGACGAGTTAGAACTCATCGCCTAAAAAATATCATTCATCTCCTCGGCCGTCTTTGCCAAAACATCTCCACCAGCCGCATTGTCCACCATGTACTGGAGATTCTGGTGGAGAGAGTCATAGAAGCTGTTCATTAACAAGGCATGTGGGAAGTTATGGTATGGGCACTATCTCTGAAGGTCTTTGAAGCGCTCTCACGCCTCATGAAGTGGTTCATTCGGTTGTTAGGAAAAGGAAACGATTTGGGACCGAAACTCCTGCGTCTTCTGATGGGAGTAGTATTTCCTAATGAACTTGGTGTACACTTGCTCCCAAGTGGTGAGGGAGTCGGGAGCAAGTGTCATAAACCAAGTTGTGGCCCGGTCCTTGAGTGTTTCGGGGAAACACCTCATTTTCAGCTGGTCCGCGTTCAAATTATGGAGAGGAAAGGTCTGGAGGACATTATAGAACTCACGGATGAAATGGAGTGGGTCCTCGTTGGGTAAACCGTAGAAAGATGGCAGCTGGTTGTAGTGGATTGTTTTTAGCTCGTAGTTCCGAGCTGCTGTCCCCAGCCGGATGCATAAAGTCACCGGCCCGATCACTGGTTGAGCTAAATCACGAAGAACATGACGAGGTGGGTTTTTACTTCCTCATCACCGTTGTTTGCCATGTCTCCTTGACTATCTGAGTATCAGTTGGCTGAGTCTGAAGATTCAGGGGCAAGGTTAGCCAACAAGTCTTGTAGATCCCTTTGGATGGATTCATTTTTCTGGCAAGAAGACAGAGATTTGAATTTTGAATTTGAAATGAAGACCACAGGGGGAGGTCAAAAACTGTATGGCGGGATTGCAGGAAACGCAAGTAGATAAGTAAAAAATTAAGAGTCAGAATCCATCGACCAAAATTAAGAACATGAATCTACTCTTAGATCCAATTATCATAATTTGACCAGAGTGAGGGGGACCAGATGATATGGGATACCACACTAAGTAGAGAAAACACAATAAACTGGTCGGCCAAGCCGAGCAAACCAGTTGGTCGAACAGAGCCACAAGAAGTTGAACGGAGGTCAAGTGCCAGTATAGAACAAGGAGTCTTCAGGTCGAAGAAGACGTGAGGGGTTCAAAGAGACAACGAGAGGTTGAGCTAGGGCCCTCGGATGGCTTGTTGAAAACTCAACATGAAGGTATGGTTGGTCATATGATCAACCAAAAGGACAACACTTAAGCTTGGGACACACAACATTATATCTCAACAAACCCGAGCTGGTCGCACGATTAGGTAGTCTAGTAAGAAAGACTAATGGATAAGAAGTGATATTAATAGATAAGGACCACACGTGGATTGGGCCACGCGGCCTAACAGAATTGGGCAGTTCAGGCAGATCAGGCAGATCAGGCAATTCAGGTAGCACAAATGGGCAATTTGGAAAGCCTACTTGGGCATTCTTGGGCAACAAGGTATCATCTCCCTATATAAGAGACCGAGGTATGCCCATTGTAACATTTCATTCTCTATATTCTCTACATACATACAACACATCATCTTCTTCACTATGACAACTTAAGCATCAGAGGTTCTTTACCGGAAAACTCCTTCGGTGTGAGAGTTGCAGCAGGTCTAAAAGACGTTCTACTGGCGAGGAGCTCAGATCAAGCCGAATTCTAGCCGGTCAAAGGTTTTAAAAAATTAAAATGATGTTTATGGCTAAAAAAAAAATGAATTAATTAAGTTCCTAATATTTATTATTAATAATATATGGTATATATTTATTACAGTATATATTATGAAGTCATAATCTTTTTGGAGAAGGATTACATAATATATATCTTACATATATTCATTTACCATATATGTTGCTTGCATTAATAACTTGGAGCTTTCTATCTCTTGTAGGACAAGGAATATGTGGCAAGGACTATAAAAGGATGAGCTACCCACACATGAAGTTTCCTGGACGTTTTCGAGAAGATCTAAGGAGGATTTGAAAAGATTCACCGCAAGATCTCTTAGATTTGGAAGATCAACTATTTAAGGAAAGTCATGTTCCTGCACGGTTTTTGAAACGAGATTTTGAAAATCTCCAAATCACATACACAAATTTTATTTGAAAGAAGCTTACTCTAAAGGAATCTTACCGAATTAGGATTCGTCTGTCCTTTATATACATTAGATCACAAAATTTAGAGATAAGAGCTGAGTTTTATTGTTCCCTTTTGAACATATTGAGTTACTCTATTACCTGAGAGTTCGTGAAATTGTTGATTATATTTTATTACTTGTGAATTCAGAAATTCAGTGTTACGTGCCTGCATCTCTGAAGGACTGAAGCATAGGATCGTTTTACTTTTGGGTATAACCAGCTTTGAGGGATTTCTGTAATAGTTGTTAGTCTACGTTGTGGCCAGAGAAATAGTTAGTAGTCGGGTATAAATTTTGGTAGATTTAGGAGAGAGTCATATACTTGCAATTCCATAATACATACTGTCGGAGGCTATCGATTTGCTAATGAAAGAGCTCTAAGGGTAGTGAGACGTTCCCGAAGATAAATTTGTTAATTTTGGCTCCCGTTCATATTTTTTGTCCTTACATACATTGCGCACTCACTCTCGACAAATGTTTTTCGCAAATATTGCTAGAGAAGATAAAACTTCTATGTGAAGTTCAGTTGAGAAGTTATTTGAAGCTGGCTTGCTAGTAACTTAACAAACTATGACATATTAACAAGGATTTGTGTTGGTCAAAATGGGATCATGGCCTGTTCTCACCAAACATTTCTTTTTCTTTTTTTGTTTTTTTGTGTAAATTTGTATAGTATGTACACAAATGAATCAACTAAATGTTGTGCCAAAGAAGCAAAGTCCTTGGCGAATAATCAATGATTTTATCTTCTTAGATGGCCCTTCTCTTAAATGTACTTTTTCTTTGGTAAACAAAATGGAACTCAAAGAAAGAAATAGTTTTAAGCCTACCAACAGCTTCATGCTGCAACAAAACTTCCAAAACAAGCAATTTTAAATGCAATCAATGAAATTGGCTATTTTACTAACTGCAAGCTGTGTGTTAATCTGGGCACACCACCTTTTTTCCAACTAACTGCAGTTTGTGGAGTAAGACATATGAAACCAAATGATTGGAGATTGCATATTTACAAAACCACCATAAATCAAACCCACATTTCTGATGTGAAGTTATCCTCTTCCTTTTCTTTATTTATCTAATTGTAATCTTTTTGTTTTTCAAGGAATTTGTTGGATAACAAATTACAAGAAGTCTAAAAATCAGGATGATATTAATGTTAAGCAGATGGACATATGAATCATACAGAATCAAGCAAATAAACTGGACAGATGAATTAAGGAGATCAAAATACCATTCAGTTTGTTAAAATACCATTCATTTACTCAACTTTTGACGGCACTTATTTGTTTGATTTCTTTATATCAGAACCTAATCTCTACTAATCCATTGATTCATTTGTGAAGTCTTCCAACTTACAATGATACTCACACCATCATTAGCTCATTTCATTAGTTGGTTGGGAACTAATTACGGTTCAAAACATTTAAATGGCTTCATTCATCATACGATTCGTTTCCTTAACTTTTATTACTAATGATTCATCCCGCTTCAAAATCCATATGTTAGGAGAGGCGAAGCACGTATGAATGGCCAACTAATATTGATTACAAAACGTACTAGAAAACATGAATTATTTTTATTAAAGCACCTTAATATTTAACGTGTAAAAAGCTGAAAATGTGTAGATTTGTACAATGATCTTTGTTTACCGTTCCCGCGAAATTCCGTTCCAACAGCAGCGTATTAATGAAATTGGCGAAAATACCCTCCAAAACAAAAGCTATGACCATGCAGATTGCAGGTTGAATCCAATATCTCATCGTCCAACAGCTAAAGCTATTGCTATCTTTTTCAATGGCACGTGAATATCATATACCAAAATTACCCCTGTCTGCTTCTTTCCAGGAGGCACAAACAAAACACGCATATATATAATGGACCTCTCATCTTCTTCCCACTCACTCGCCCTCTCTCAAATCTCAGCAGAAGTTATTTTGGCAATTACTTATCAGTTTGAAGCTCACACACACATATGTAATGTAACAATACTAGTCCCTAATCAGGTAAGCATGCCTAAACCACTTCACCTTCAATCTCCATCTTCTTTTATCTTATTGATTGCTTCTCATTCTGTTAATTGTGCTGTAATGTTCCATCAAACTCACATTGACTTGAATCTATACTGAACACATTCCTTCAATCTCCACTTCATCGTGAACCAGTTCGAATTAATAATATCTCCGATTTTCAACAATCGGATCAAGTATGCAAACGTCTGTGATAGCCGATACCTGTTGATTCGATTTTATCAGCATTTCAATTCTTCCAATTTCTATCTCGATTTCCGATTTCTCTCTAATTTTATTGTTGGGTAGAAGACGATGCAGAGAGAAATCACAATCTCCGGCCAACAGAACACCGCCGCCTCCACCGCACCATGGGCTTTCACCGAGGAATACGATTTCGCCACGTCGCTGTCGATTTTCCCGCCAAATCACTCGCCTGTTGTGGATAATTACCTAAACGACGTCGGCTCCTCCGTATCCCCTTCCGAGGGTTACTGGTCCCAAATCCAGCAGAAGCATCAGGACCTGATGAGCCGCTACCAGACGATTCTCTCCCACCTCCGAGACGTGGCCAGGCTGGCGCAGGACCTCCGCCAGAAGAACGTCAATCTCAGAATGGCAAACCTTGATTTGAACAACCGCTTGAATTTGTTGCTCAATGCGACGCCGTATGGTGGTCTGGACCTAGGGTCGGTGGAGGAGGAAGGGACGAGCGAGAAGAGCCCCACCAGCGTGATGGATTCGGGCCGGGTCGGTCTTCCCAAGAGCATCTCGGTCCGCTCCAGTGGGTATCTGAAGGGGGTACGAAAAAAAGAGGGAGAATGCTCTACAGCTGCCAACAGAGACAAGATTGATAATAGGAATAATAATGGGACGGTACATCTTTTGCTTTTTACATTAAAAATTAGCCTTTTCTTTCCCTTGCTTATAATGTGAAATTCCTTGGTCAAAATTGATTACTTCTGTTGTTGGTTATAAAAGTCTGCTTTGTTATTAAGTTGAAAATAACCGAGCTAATACCAGGGGTTATGTAAAACAACTAACCTAGCTTGAATTGACCAATCTCTTCAAATCATAAATACTTTCTTAAAATGTCACACACATGCTAGTGAAGTTTGAATATATGTAGAACTTAACCCCCACTTAGAGGCCTGATTGTGCAATTTGTAACAAAAAGGTAATGAATAATTTGTAATACTGAAAGATTACTGGTCATGCTTTGTAATTAGGCTAAAACCACAGTGGTGGTTCTTGTAATAATTATCCTCTGCAAAATGAATTTTCCAAATTCTTGTCCTTTTTTATATGCATAGTTCCAGTTTTACATGCATGTGAGATCAAATATCATTCAAATACACCCTGATTGAACTGATGAGCTCAATAGTTTAACCACACCGATGCTCGCGCAGCAAAAGGTTTATGTGAAAGGAGACAACAATAACAACAAGAAGATGAAGGAGCAAGGGTTGGAGGTGGATGTGTACAACCAGGGCATGCTCAAAACCGAACTCTGCAACAAGTGGCAGCAAACGGGGACCTGCCCCTACGGGCAAAATTGTCAATTCGCACACGGCATAGAGGAGCTCCGCCCAGTCCTCCGCCACCCGCGCTACAAAACCGAGGTCTGCCGCATGGTGCTTGGCGGCGTCCCCTGCCCTTACGGCCACCGCTGCCATTTCCGACACGCGCTCACCGACGAGGAACATCTTGCTCGGTCCTCGTGGGCCCCACAAGCCTCCTGACCTGCATGTGTATAAACTATCTTGGGAGATTCCTTTTTTCATGCATGGCTGTGTTTTTTTCTTTTTTTTTTTTTTCTTCNGATCTTATATATGGTGGTCTCTGCTTATCAGGTGGAGGAGGAAATTAAACTAAATTTGTGTAGGTATGGAGCTTGATATTGTAAATAAATACGTCTATATATGTATATAGATCGGAATATATATAAATAAATGGATCAGAACATGATACAGGGGTGTCTGGTGTGAGGGGCTTTATGTTGAGAATGCCATTAGTGTTGTGTAATATTTTGCATTGCTGAGACTTATATAATTTGTTTGGCCGGTGTTTGTAGAAAAGGATCGTTTAGGTCTGATGTGTGATTTTTGGATGCTGGTTTGGCAACTTTTGATCTCTATGACTGGATGACTGATTATGCTATAGAAAAGTAGTAAAGATAAAAAATTGCAATAGAATTATTGAAAGGAAACCAAGCATGCATGATTCAAGTAAAAGATTGATACAGAAGGGATAGAGATCCGAAAAACGCAACCAAATACTAGGTAAAAATATTATTGTGTAATTCTCTCTTTGAGAGCACGCTGTAATTCTCTCGTTTGAGAGCTTTCAATTTCCTCTATTTGATCTTGTTTCAACCTCCTTCTTTCAATCGCATTTGCTGGAGTTCCTAATTTCTTCCAAATAGAGTTGGAGTTCCAAGATCTAGATTGATTATGGAAGATCGTCGAAATTCTATCCGCGATGAAGACCTTATTCAAAAGATGAACACTTTCTCGCTCTCAGATAGAGAAACTTCGTTTGTAGACCTGGAGCAAGAAGATATCCGTATAAGCGCGGATGAATGCAATCGAAGTCTATTTGGCAGAATTGTAGGCGATCGAAAAGCAGGTTTGATTGGGATTAGGAAGACGATGAACCAAATCTGGCGTTTATCTCAGTCAATGGAAGTCAAGGAATTAGGGCTCAACTATTTTCAATTCATATTCCAGAATCGGGATGATCTTCACAAAGTTCTTGGAGGGCCTAATTGGAGTTTCGAGAATCAATTTCTCATCTTGTCAGAATGGAAAGAGGGATTGACCAGGCAGCATGAATGCTTTCAAAAATTAAACATATGGGTTCAGGTATCGAACATTCCCTTAAATTGGCTAAGTACAGATGTTGGCCTTAAGATTGGAAGACTGTTTGATGAAGTGCGAAATGTTGCAATAGTTAATTCTGGTAATCACAGAGGAAGGATGATGCGTATCTTAGTATCTTTAAATCTTCATGAACCTCTCCTCCGCTGTGCTAACATCCGATTGGGAGATCAAGTGGTAACAGTATGTTTTAGATATGAGAAGCTAGTGAATCTATGTCATTATTGCGGCCGAATCGGACATTTGGATAGGACTTGTCAGCAACGGCTGGAAGACATTCGATCCAATTCTCTCAAAGAAGGTCAATTTGGCGATTGGCTTCGAGCATCAGAGTCCTATAATTGGTTTGATACAAATAAAGCGGATTCCAGAAGTCCCCCACAACCATCTCCATCTACAGCTGGAAATGGTGCCTCAAACTTCAACTCTTCAAATCAACAGGACCAAGAAAAGCAACTGGTGCTACATACAAAACATACCACCTCAATTATTCACTCTTCAGCATCCACATCACTTCATACTGAACCTTCTCAGGCTGGTACTCCTATGGAATTGATGCTCCCTTTGACAACCAACACAAATCTAACAACAAACATAGAAGTTGAAGCAGGTCAACCTTCTCAACCTCTGTCAGCACTTACAGCAAGCAAAAATAAACTCAAGATAGAACTGGCCAAAACCAATAAAACTTGGAAGAGAACTAGCAGTCAGAAAGGAAGACTACAGAGACAAGGAGATACACCTGCCCTCATCATATCTACTGCCCCTAGTAAAAGAGTAAGAGAAGAGGAAAATCAAACACCTTCACTCAACACTAATCAAAATCAAGAGATTGTTCACAGTGACACAAAGAAACTAAAAGGCTCTTCTTCAAAGGTGGTGGTGGCCAGCCTGGAGTGGCACCCAACCCAATGTTAGCTGCGGCGTGGAACTGTAGAGGGCTGGGTGGGCCCTCTACAGTTTCCCAAATCCGAGAGACAATCAGGTCTCATCACCCTCATTTTATATTCATTTCTGAAACCAAAAACTCAAATGGTTTTGTTCGATCAGTTGGCAGAAAGTTAGGCTTTCATGGCAGAATGGTAATAGTGGATCCTAAAGGCATTGGAGGTGGTCTACTTCTCTTATGGAGCCCAGAAATCACTATACAACAAATTCATAGTACACATTTCTTCATAGCAGTTCAATTTCAGCTCTCCTCTACACTCAGTCAATGGGGCATCTTTGTCTACCTTAGCCCATGTAAATCACAGAGAGAAGAGCAATGGCACATCTTAGAACAGGAAAAAGATAAATGGGGAACTTCATGGTTCATCATTGGAGATTGGAATGATCTCAGATTCAAAGAGGAGAAGTTAGGAGGAATTCCCAGGAGTTACTGCAGTCTCTTAGGCTTCAACTCCTTCATTAACAAGATGGAAATGGAAGAAATTCAAATGGTTGGTCACAAATTCATTTGGTACAATCACAGGCAAGGTATTGATTGGGTAGAAGAAAAGTTGGACAGAGGCTTCGGCTCCTTAGAATGGCTTCACACACATCCAAATGCCAAAGTCTGCAACATAGCTAGAAGCTCATCAGATCATGCCATGCTCCTTCTAGACACTGGACTAGTTCAAGAAAGAAAAGGGAAGAGATTTCACTTTGACAGAAGGTGGACCATGAAATCTGATTTTCATCAAACTGTATCTCAAGCTTGGTCAACCTCAGTTCTTGGAACTCCCTTCTATCAATTGAAAGAAAAAGTCAAGAATACAAGACTGGCCCTTCTTATTTGGAGCTCCAACTTCAAAACTCAAAATCAGCTAAACATTGAGTCACTATCCAGGAAATTAGAAGAAATTAGACTAGACAGTGCACAAACCAGCTACGATACTTGGGATGCCACCAGGAAAGAGTTAAATAAAGCACATATGTTTGAAGAAATGCACTGGCAGCAAAAATCCAGACTTCACTGGCTCAAAGAAGGAGATGGAAATACCAAGTTCTTTCATTCATACACTCAACAGAGAAGAAAAATGAATGCATTAACAAAATTAATCTCTTCAAGGGGGCAAACCTTCACCACTCATGAAGAAATTCAGAACCATATTTCAGATTACTATTCTCATCTCTTTTCCTCTGAAGGATCTTGGGGAGGGGAATCATTTCTACACCTGATACCAACCACCATCACTCCCGAAATGAATCAGACCCTCTTGCTTCCCGTTTCAGAGGAAGAAATCAAAGATACTCTTTTCAGCTTGCACCCAACTAAAACCCCAGGAGAAGATGGTATGTCTGCCTTATTTTATCAAAACTGCTGGAATATTATCAAAAATGATTTTGTTGCTGCCATTTCTAGTTTTTTCTCTACTGGTCAAATTTTACAATACTGGAATCACACAATTTTATCCTTAATTCCTAAATGTGTACTTCCAGAGAACTTAAGCCAGTACAGACCAATTGGTTTATGTACAGTCATTTACAAAGTCATTGCTAAAATATTGGCCAACAAACTCCAGAGTTGCTTAAGCTATTGCATTAGTGATTTCCAGTCAGCGTTCATTAAAGGCAGACAATTGTTAGATAACGTAATAATTGCTCAGGAAGTTTTTCATTTTTTAAATAGACATACTTCTGGGAAAAATTACTTTATGGCTTTGAAACTTGATCTTATGAAGGCATTCGACAGAGTAGAATGGGCTTGTGTGGAAAAAATTATGCTCCAAATGGGCTTTCACATGAATTTTGTCAAGTTAATTATGGCATGCATCAGAACTTCTTCTATTTCCTTTAAAATCAATGGTGAAGTGTGTGGGCTGATTAAACCTACCAGAGGCATTAGGCAGGGGGATCCTCTATCCCCCTACCTATTCATTATTGTGGCAGAATTCCTTACTGCTCTAATTCAGGATGCTACTAACTCTGGTCAATTGCAGGGGATCAAAATTTCCAAAAATGGTCCTTCATTATCTCACCTGTTGTTTGCAGATGACTCTCTGTTTTTCTGTAAAGCAGGTATTGATCAAGCACAGGTGCTCATGGACATCTTACACAGATACAAACTCTTCACTGGTCAAACTGTGAACATCAACAAGTCCACAATTTTCTTTAGTCGAAACACTCCAACTCATCTTCAGCTGGGCATATGCAATGTTTTTCAAGGAATTCAAGCACACAGATCCACAAGATACTTGGGCTTACCACTTGGAATAGGAAGATCAAAAACTGAGACATTTGCATATTTACTGGATTCAGTCAGGCAGAAACTTCAAAACTGGAAATCCAAATTGTTATCTGAAGCTGGAAAGGAAGTTTTACTTAAGGCTGTTGTTCAGGCTCTTCCTATATTTCCTATGTCCTGCTTTAAACTTCCAATTTCACTGTGTAATGATATTTCTAGATTATGTGCTCAGTTTTGGTGGAACAGAAAAGAGGATGGCTCAGCTGGTTTGCATTGGAAAAGCTGGAAAAAACTCTCAATTCCCAAACTCTCTGGAGGGCTTGGTTTTATAGACTTAAAAATATTCAATGAAGCTCTTCTTTGTAAACAGCTTTGGAGAATAACCACTCAGCCAGAACTGTTAGTGAGCAGAATCCTAAAAGACAGGTATTATCCTCATACTTCCATCTTTCATGCTACTAAATCACAAAAAGGCTCTTGGCTATGGAATTCATGGATGGATGTTCTTCCTGTCTTTACAAAATGGCTGAAAATTGAAATAAGAAATGGAGCACAAACCAGAATTGAGGATAAAAACTGGATTCCAAATTTTACAAAATCCCATCCTGAATTATTACCAATAGCAAGAGGTCATATTATTTATGTCAAAGAACTTCTCACTGAGGATGGGTTGAACTGGAACGAATGGTTGGTAAGCAAACTTTTCTGTTCTGAAGACAGTAATGCCATTTTAAATATCAAAACATTGAATCCTCTTAGTTCAGACAAATTCTATTGGGGATTAGATAAAAAAGGGAAATTTTCTGTCTCTAGCACATACAAGCATCTCATTCAGCAGAAGGTGCTTCAGATGGATATACCACAGAGCAGCACACAGGCATTGGCATGGAAATCAACTCTTAAAAGAACCTGGTCCTTAAAGGTTCTGGGTAAAGTAAAGCTTTTCATCTGGAGATGTTTATCAGGGGCTTTGCCTGTCCTAACAAATCTAAAGAAAAAAGGAATAGATGTGCATACTACATGCAGCTACTGTGGTGAAAATGAAGAAACTGTTGAGCATGTCTTGTTTCTCTGTTCTAGGGCAAACAGATTGTGGGAAATATCCCCTGTATCTTGGGATGGTCTTGATCAATATAAATCCTCCTTTAAACATTGGTGGCAACAATTATGTCTCATAGGTCACTCAGAAATTGATGAACACAGGATACAACTCACGACATATCTTTTGTGGTGGCTTTGGAAGACAAGAAATACATGGGTTTTTCAACACTCACTCACCCCAGTTCACATAGTTGTCAAAGCTGCTCAATCTGATTGGTTAGAATTCTCACTGGCTCAAACTTCCCGGCTATCTCAGGATACTTCTCATTTTACATAATTTCTTTTGTTTTAGTCTGTACTGGTGGAAGGACTCTTGCTAGGCACTTTGCAGTGGCGGATAACTTTCTTCCTCCTTTTTTTCCTTCACTAATGACTTGTAACGAGTTTTTGTGTATTTCCTTTTCGGTTCTAAGCCATCATGGGGATGCGCTTCTCATTTTTCATTTCGGCTGTTTGATGTATGTATCTGAACAATGTTATATTTCGCTTGAGTTAATATATCTACTTCTATCGTTTCGAAAAAAAAAAAAAAAAAAAAAAAAATCATATTGAGTTTCACAAACCGATCAAATCAATATAACAAGTAAACCCTTCAATCTCTCAACGAGTTCTACCTGGTGTGCAAAACAACCCGACCAACTTGAATGATCTTTGGATCCATTCACGTCCGGTTCAATAACCTGCATGTTGAGTCAAAATGGGAAGGCTGCGCCCATTTCATTTGACAAGCAGCCAAGGAATAAAAAAAAAGAGGAAGCTTCATTTGTTGAAAAATTGAGCACGCAGTTGTGGAAAACAAGGTGCATTCTCCTCTATAAATAGAGGAACAAATTCTGATGAACACCACAACGAAAAGAAAAATACAACACACCAAGAGAGAAGAAAAAAGGAGAGAAAAAGGGTGTGAGCAAGAAAGCAAGAATTTAGCTTTTGTGTGTATTTGAGTTGTGAGTTGTGAATGAGTTTGAGAGTGTTTTGTAAACACGAGTGTAATTTTTCTTCCTAATAAAATATCTGCAGTAGTCCGGAGACGTAGACATTATTGGCCGAACTCCGTTATCAAATTGGTGTGTCCAATTTTTATGTTTTATTTCACTTTTATAAATCCGACTTCATAAAAAATTCAGCGTATTTTTCCCAACAACTGGTATCAGAGCCAGATTGTTAATTCTGTAATTTTTGTGGGTTACTATTCCGTGAATAGTGAAAAACGGAAATAGTGCCAAATTTGTCGGCGCTACAAATTTATTTACCGACGTGTTTTGAAACACGGTCGTTCACAAATATTATCAGAAATGATCCGGCAGTGAAGTCAGATCAGAGACGAAGTGATGGCTGCAGATGAAGGAAAAATAAAAATTGAAAAGTTCGATGGTGCGGACTTTGGCTTTTGGAAGATGCAGATCGAGGATTATCTGTAGCAAAAGAATATGTATCAACCACTCACAGGAAAGAAGCCAGAGGACATGAAGAAGGAAGAATGGAGTCTCCTTGACAGACAAGCCCTTGGAGCCATTCGGCTGACGTTATCTCGTAATGTTGCTTTTAACATTGCAAAAGAAAAGACGACAGCAGGCCTCATGAAGGCTCTTTCAAACATGTACGAGAAACCATCAGCCTCAAATAAAGTTCATCTGATGAGGCGATTGTTCAACCTTCGGATGATCGAAGGGACTTCGGTGGCACATCATCTCAATGAGCTCAACACCATCACAACCCAGTTGAGTTCAGTTGAGATCGAGTTCGATGATGAAGTACGGGCTTTAATACTTTTGTCTTCCCTACCAGAAAGTTGGAGTGCTACGGTCACGGTTGTGAGTAGCTCATCGGGAAGCAATAAGTTGAGATTTGATAATGTTCAAAATTTGGTTCTCAGTGAAGAGATCCAGCGGAGAGAGTCCGGTGAACCATCGACCTCTTCTGTATTGCATATAGAGTCAAGAGGAAGAAGTTCAACCAAAGAAAGCAGACACAACAAATCAAAAGAAAGAAGATCAAAGTCCAGAAATCATTGTAGTTCCCAAACCTCGAAGTCGATCGAGTGCTGGAATTGTGGAGAGACCGGGCACTACAGAAACCAGTGCAAGAGTGCACCGAAGAATCAGGAGACAAAAAAAAAGGCAAATGTTGCCTCATCTTCAGGAGGAGATATGCTGGTATGTTCTTTGGAGAACAGAGAAGAGTCTTGGGTGTTAGACTCTGGAGCATCCTTTCATGCTACCTCACAGAAGGAACTATTCGAAAATTATGTTCCTGGAAATCTTGGTAAAGTTTACCTTGGTAATGAGCAATCATGTGAGGTTGTAGGGAAAGGTGCAATAAAAATCAAGCTGAGCGGGTCAGTATGGGAATTGAAAAATGTTAGACATATTCCCGACTTGACGAAGAATTTAATCTCCGTGGGCCAGCTAGCCAGTGAAGGCTACACGACAATCTTCCATGGTGATGATTAGAAGATTTCAAAGGGTGCGATGACAATTGCTCGAGGCAAAAAGAGTGGTACTCTTTACAAGACCACATGAGCATGTCATCTGATTGCAGTTGCAGCAAATGAAAATCCCAATCTATGGCACCAAAGACTTGGGCATATGAGTGAAAAATGGATGAAGATCATTCACTCAAAAGGAAAATTACCAGGCCTCCAGTCAATTGAAATTGACATGTGTGAAGGTTGTATACTTGGAAAGCAAAAGAGAGTCAGCTTTCAAACAAGTAGAAGAACTCCAAAGAAGAAGAAGCTTGAGCTCGTCCACTCTTATGTTTGGGGTCCAATGACTGTCCCATCCGTTGGTGGAAAGCAATACTTCGTGACTTTTATCGATGATCACTCCAGAAAAGTATGGGTTTACTTTCTGAAACATAAGTCAGAAGTATTTGAAGCTTTCAAGATTTAGAAAGCTATGGTGGAAAATGAGACAGCCTTGAAGATCAAGAAGCTCAAATCCGACAATGGTGGTGAATACGTAACCACCAGATTCAAGAAGTTTTGCTATGAGCACGGGATCAGAATGGAGAGAACCGTGCCTGGTACGCCTCAACACAATGGTGTAGCTGAGCGTATGAATTGAACGTTGACTGAAAGAGCCAGAAGCTTGCGTGTGCAGTTAGGCCTACCAAAGCAGTTCTGGGCAGAAGCAATCAACACAGCAACTTACTTGATCAACCGAAGTCCATCGATACCATTGGATCACAAGTTTCCAGAAGAGGTATGGAGCGGAAAAGAAGTAAAACTCTCACATCTTAGAGTTTTCAGGTGTGTAGCATATGTGCACATCAGTGATCAAGGTAGAAACAAACATTGATCCAAAATCAAAGAAGTGTACCTTCCTTGGGTATGGTGAAGATGAGTTTGGCTACCGCATATGGGATGATGAAAACAAAAAGATGATCCGCAGCAGAGATGTCATCTTTAATGAAAAAGTGATGTAGAAGGACCGGCATAGCACAAGTGCCAGCAACTCAGAAGCGAGTGGGCCAGTTTATGTTGAGGTGGAAGATATGTTAGAGTAGGGTACCCGGCGTTCCAATCTAATTGGACGTATTCTACTTGTAAATACAGTCTATTGAAATTATATTATGAATAAGGCATTTCTTTATCTTAAGAGAAAGCATTTATCTTATAATTGCACTTAAGATAAAATCCCTAGATCACTTATGGTTATAAGGTATGGTTGCGCATAGAGATGGTGATCATGGAACATACCTTGAAAGCCGTGATCTTAAACACAGTTCCAAGTCGATGGATGTTTCCAGATGGGATATCGAATAATCCATAAGAGACTTGCACATAGTTTGTATGCTTGTTGGACAAGAATGTTGCATTCCATCAACATTAGCGTAAGACGTAAGTACATTTATGTGGGTGCTTGTTAGAGAACAAGTTCACTGAACATGACCATATGAAAATTCTTAATGAAGAATTTATTCAGTCGAATAAGAATTTTCATGTTACAATAGTACATGACTAATCCTAAGACTTGAGGCACAATGGTAACTTTGTGCATATTACATTCTACTTTGATTTATCCTTTTGGTAGCTAGCACTATCGTTTAAAGGGATAAGTTGGGTATTATGTTGATATGTATGGATGTTTGTTAGTGGCCAATAAAGGATTCGACACTTATGAAGATAAGTGAATTTCCTATGTGTTTCATAGTTATTAATCCAAAGTCCTTGGCCAAGGCAGAGATGAATAGTGATTCATAACCGGGTTAATAAACATGAAATAGAATCATAGTTATTAAGTCAATTTGGGTTTCGACAAAATCATACCCAAGACTTAATCGGGAAATTAGATGTCGAAAGGATTTTACATGTATGGAGTTGTAATCGGAATAGGTTTACTCGCTATTCACTTAATACTAGATTCATGCTACTTGCTAGGTGTTACCATGATATGTGGGTTCATAAATTAAAGGGTTAATTCATGAATAAGAGTTAATAAGATTTAACTCAAATTACAAAGTGTTGTAAACCCACTACTAGTATTAAGGTGAACCTAAAAGGTCACACTAATTATGAACAAAGGTAAAGATTGTATTTCTAATGGTTAGAATTAATTGATAAATATCTAATTTGATTAGATATCAATTAAAGGAATATATTAATCAATAAGATTGATTAATTACATTTTGGATATTACTTTAGTAATTAAGGTAATTACTAAATTAATAAAGTTGAATTTTAAAATAGGATTTTAAATTTCAAAAATCCAAAATAATAATAATATGATTATTATAATATTGGGAAAATGATATAATAATAAAGTCTTGAGAAAGATTCTCAAGATTTATTATCCAATTATTATTTATATCTTTAAATATGATTTAAGGATTAAAATAATAAATATGATTATAATAAAATGGTTGTTGATGGTTGTTTGAACTACTTAACATATCTTATTATTTTCAAAGTCAAAAGTTAGTAAATACTATTTAAATAAAATTTGATTTTATTTAATATTACTAAATGTTGATTATTTTATGCTAAAATGTTTAGTATAAATATATGCAAAATGGTTTTGCATTTAAGTGAAGTTTTTGATCCTAAATTTCTAAGTGTTAGAAAGAGAAGAAAGTGTTCTTCATAAAACTTCAAGAAAGAGTTCTTAAAATTCCCAAATAAAATTCATAAATATTCCTATACAAGAAAACCGAGTCTTTTCTACTAGCGAAGGAAAGTCGTCGGAACCGGGCTTCATAGGGTGGATACGTTTAGAGGGAAGACACTTGGATTCCTCTAGCGAGTAACCTCAAGTCGTTGAAGTTACAACCGGGAACCGATTCCCTCATCCATCATCAATAGTGAAGGAGTTCAAGACATTCGGTAAATATTTTTACTAGTATTTACTTTATAGTAACAAATCAAAATTTGTATATGATGCATGTTTTAAAGATGACGATCAGTTAATTCGCAATTAGTATGTACGGGTGTTGTATTTATACGATAAATACTTACTTTAAAAATTTTAAATTCCGCTGCGTACAGCCCGTACGGTACTATCGAACCCAACAGTGGTATCAGAGCCACGGTTATCGTCTTTAAAACAGATTTTGATTTGTTAAGACTTATGAGATAAGCAATATAATTAATTTTTTATATGATAAAAATATTAATTATAAAATTAAAAATCGTTTTTAAGCCACACGAGTCGTGTGACCTTGTCACACGAGTCGTGTGGCATGAAGAAAAATTTTGATTTTAGCTTCGTGATTTTCACACGAGTCGTGTGACCTTGTCACACGAGTCGTGTGAGCTCACACGAGTCGTGTGACGAGCCACACGAGTCGTGTGAGTCTGGGAAAAATTTTGATTTTCAATTCGTATTTTTCACACGAGTCGTGTGATAAGATCACACGGGTCGTGTGACCCTCACACGAGTCGTGTGACTCATAAATTGATATTTTATGTTCATTTCATTAGATGAATGTTTTAGGGATGATCATGAGCCTCATATTCATTATGTTTGAATGGATGTTTTCATTTTCAATATGATTGAATGAATGAATGGATGTTTAATTATGTTTTCAATATGATTGAAGAAATGTAATTTATCGAGACCTGCGAGTCTCTTGAGATGAAATTTGTAAAATTTTAAATTTTGTATCGTTAGAGATTAGATCAAGGTGGAGACCGTTCGATGACAAAGGCCCACGCATGTGTGGGTAATTTTACAAGTTGTAATCTCGAAGGCCTGTGCTTGTACGGGTAGATAGAATAAATGTAATAGAAGTAGTTCTACTATTTGTTTTATCACGTACATATGCATAGATCCATTTTGGCTCGAATGGATCGAATAGGAAAGGACATGATCATCCCACCATGCATTAGATGTATGTTAGGTTTATTTACGCTTTCGTTTCATTAGATGACTGAAACTGGTAAATAAACGTAAAGATGGTAATCGATGAGATCAAGGAACCCAAACGGATTAATTTGATTAATTCCATATCAAATCAATAATGGATAAAAATAAGTTGGAACTTATTAATCCAGGCCTTCCATCAAAAGTAGATGACATGAGATGCTACGATGTTTTATCATTGGCCACGAGTCGTGGGATGATTCTATGTCGAAAGCTGTGAACTCTATTAAATATATTGATATTCGTGAGACGGATTCCTCTTTGTGTTGGCCATGAGTCGTGGGACACTCTGGTGGGCCGTTATCATGAAAGTTTTGATGGGTTTGATTTGACACCGAGTAATATATATGGAGTCATAAAATTGAGGTATATAAGGAAAGGTGAGGCAAAACATCTTGAAGGTTGTATAGAGATACAATTGTCAAAAAGTTGACTACCGATAAAATTGTTTCATGGTGGCATCATAAAATTGGGACATGAAATATTTTTATTGGACTTCAAGCCCACTATGAAAATAATGATTTTCATAATTATAATGAGGTTCTAATTAAATTAGTGGGAGACATTTAATGTTAAAGACCTAATATTAAATGAATATAAATTCCATAGTCTAATTATTTTCTGCTTCGTTTGTTATTTTTGTAGATCAAACTACTAAAATGGCTAAGAATCCAATCGCGAGTATCCTTGATCATAATAAATTAACTGGTCCCAACTTCAATGATTGGTTGAGGAACCTAAAGATTGTTCTTCAGTCTGAGAAGCGAGAGTATGTTTTGGAAACAGCTCCTCCTCCTCCACCGGAGGATCAGACTGCTGAAGAGTATGGAGCCTACTTGCGTCATGTTGATGACAATCTCCAAGCTCGGTGCTACATGCTAGCATCAATGTCTAATGAGCTACAGAGACAGAACGAATTACTGAATAATGCTTCTGAAATCCTAACTCACCTGCAAGAGTTGTATGGTGATCGGACGCGACAAATTAGATATCAGATATCTAAAGAGCTTTTCAGGTGTCGTATGACCGAGGGCTCTTCAGTTCATGATCATGGACTGAAGATGATAGCTCTTGTGGAAAGACTCGAATCACTTGGAGTCATTATGGATAATGAACTCTATGTGGATTTATTGTTGCAATCTCTGCCAGCGTCATTCGATAACTTTGTCGTTAACTACAACATGCATAATATGGAAACTGATCTTCCAGGATTATTAAACATGTTGAAGACGGCTGAGTCCACCATTAAAAAGGACAAGCCGGTACTTCTTGTTGGATCCACTTCCGGATCAAAGGCTACTAAGTCTAAGAAAAGGAAGAGGAAGGGAAAGGTTCCCAATAAGCCCAACAAGAAGGCATATAATGATAAAGGGAAGAACAAACAGAAGGTTAATTCTCAGGCCGATCATGAATGTTTTCATTGTGGCAAAACTGGGCACTGGAAGAGGAACTGCAAGGAGTATCTTGCTAGTCTGAAAAGTTCAGGTATTTATTTTGTTGAAGTTAACTTGTCTGTTAACGATTCTTCTTGGGTATTGGATACCGGCTGTGGCTCACATATTTGCAATGATTTGCAGATGATGGCAAGAAGTAATATGCTAGATGGTGAAGAAACAATCCTAAGGATGGGCAATGGGGCAAGAGTTGCTGCTAAAGCTATTGGGACTGTTTATCTAGCATTGAATAATGATGTAAAGATTTGTCTATCAAACTGTTTGTATGTTCCGGATTTAATAAAAAACATTATTTCTATTCCAATATTGGATAAGGAAGGTTTTAAGTTTGTCATTGAAAATGGAAAATGTTCTATTTTCAAAGACACAACTTTTATTTATTCTGGAAATTTGACAAATGGGTTGTATACCATTACACCACAAAGTCCCATCCTAACCATTCAACAAAATAAAAGGAAATTAGATAATCATAGTTCATTCACAATTTGGCATGCTAGATTAGGTCATATATCCGAAAAACGGATTCACAAATTGGGACCTAAACTCGACCTTAGGGGAGAGGATAGGTTGCCTACATGTGAGTCATGTCTTAAAGGTAAAATGACTAAATCACCATTTGTTGGACAAGTGGAGCGAGCTAAAGGTTTGTTGGATTTGATCCATACAGATGTTTGTGGACCACTAAACGTTAGTGCAATGGGGAACTATCACTATTTCATAACCTTCACTGATGATTATTCACGGTATGGTTATGTTTACCTATTGAGGTACAAATCTGAAGTATTTGAAAAGTTCAAAGAATTCAGAAATGAAGTGGAGAAACAAATTGGTAGAAATATTAAAGTTCTTCGATCAGATCGAGGAGGTGAATATTTGACTAATGAGTTTCTTGATTATTTAAAAGATAATGGGATTGTCTCACAGTGGACGCCTCCTGGAACTCCACAACT